AATGAAGTTCAAGACTTTTCAATGCCAAATAAAAACAAACAAATTAGTAGTAATAAAGGAAAGTTAGATAGTATGTTAGACAAATTAATGAAGAGAAAAAATTGTGTATGTATAAAGATCTAAATTATTTATTTATTTAAATAATAATATCATGGATATGAATGACAACTAAAAATATGTTCTATTATTAGTCAACAGATGAGCCTGTAATTGGAAAGGAGAAAAAACGTAGAAAACTTGACGAAATAGTTCTAGGATTAAGTGCGGCAAAAGAACAGCAAAGTAGTCATTATCCTGAACATAGTAAAAAAAGTACAATTACACCAAATGTAACTGTCACTCCAACTTCTGCGCCGATGGGGCTTCCAAATCCTCCAACAAGTACCCAGAAACCGTTTTCCATTACTGTTACTTCGATACCTTCTTCACGTGCATCAAATTGTACTCCTGGATTGCCACCTCCGTCTTTACATTCGCATAAAGATAGTTTTTCTGCTTTACTTGTTCAAGCAGAACAACAAAATCGCGAATTCAAAAAGCAACAGCAACATCAACAATCTCAGCAGCAGCAGCAGCAACAGCAGCAGCAACAACAGCAACAACAGCAACAACAACCAAACTTCAATTCGACACATTCATCGTCAACAAGCAGTCACAAGAAGAGTTACGAAGCAATGATCGCAGACATTAACAAAGTTGCTGAGTACTCTTCTAAAATCGGATCATATTCTCACGAGGCTAAAGTAAATAAGTGGTTAGCTGAACAAACTGCTATGTCTGAACAATTGGGTGCGGAATACCTAAATGCACCTAGACGGCGTAGACCACGCGTTGATCCATCTTTATTAGACTGGAAAAAGTTAACAGGCGAAGAAAATGTTGCTGTAATTAATAGATTAACAGGCAAAAAGGTTTGAATAAAATATTATACTTTTTTTTATATCAGATAATCTTATATCTGTATTTCAACAAGTTACATAAAAAAATGTTATTTATTCTCTACTATGTAATACTTATATTTAGATTTCATCTACATAGATAATATTAATTTACATACTTGTTTTAGGTTACGGGCAGTAAAGCGCCACAATTAAAACGACTAGGTCAATGGTTAATTGAAAATCCAATGTTTGATGTAGATCCAAAATGGGCTGAACTCGTAAAAGAACGCGGAAATCTTCCACATGATCTCCAAAAGAGATTATCAGGAAATGATAGGAGTTATGTTAATAAGGGTAAAAGCCCTGGAAGACCACCCATGATGCCAAGTCCTACTAGTCAGCAGTCTGCGAATCAAGCTAATTTAGCAGCTACATCAATGGCTTCAGGTCTAAACTTTCCTTCGCTGGGTAATTTGAATAACTCCCTTCTGTCGGGTCTTTCTCTTGGCAATTTCGATCCAAAGAATAATCCTCTCCTAATGCCGTTCGGTGGTTTACCCAATCTGGGTGCATTGAGCGGTCTGGGCAATCTTAACCTGAGCAATATGAGTTTAACGAATTCTTTATTCGCAAATCTTGCTGGTCTTGGTTTGCCATCTTTGGCGGGTATGGAGGCTGCTTTAGGTGCAACAGCAACCAGCACAGCTGCTGAAACCAATTCCGTTGTTAGTTCTGTCAGCAGCAAAAACACAGGTTCAACTAACATTAGCAATGCTGGTAAATCATCTCGCAGTAAATTGGAGCCTCCTACAAGTAAATCTTCGGTGCCTTCAACTTCATCAGCATCGTCTACGATATCAACAACGACGCCATTCCCCTTCTTTTTCCCAAATCCCAGTCTTTTATATACACCATTGGGTTTGGGTGGTTTAAATCCATTCTCCATGCAGCCTGGTGGAGTATCATCGGCCTACGAAAGTCTTGCCCAATGTGGGCTTTTAAATCCATCAACTTCGAGTGCCTCAACAGTGCGTAAACCTACATCATCAGCTAGTAACTCGAGGCAACGCGATACAATTACCGAATCAACAACTAAACGGAAAGATGCAGAAAAGAAATCCAGGTATTCTGTCGATCCTGCAATAACACTGCAGCAGTACACAGATATGACGTTACATAATGAGGAAAGACGTAGAATAGAGCCAGAAAAAAGAGAAATCTTGGAGCAGAACGATGTAGCAGATCTTTCTGAAAGACGAATTGAAAGGAAAAACAAAGAACAGGAAATGAAAGAAGCTCTGGAACATTTAAGTAGAACTAGTGCGGAACTTCTGACGAGAAATCTTGAAGATCAACGATTGAGTGAAAAGAGAGGTCGTAATGTAGATCATAATCAAAGTTCCGAACCACAAACTTCAAGTATGCTCGAAGTAACTCTTGAACCTGTCAATAAGAAGCCAAGAATTGAAATTGAAGTTAGCGCAAAACCTGTGACAACAGCAGTAACAACTACAATAGCAACAGATGTGTCAGTAGCTGAAATTGAACATGGAGTGCGGTCATCATGTGTAACAGTTAAACAAACTACTCCCGAAGAGACCAATACTTTCAATGAAACATCTGCAAATACTAATAAAAAAGAAACTGACGAAACGGCTGCTACAATAACAACAACTGTGTCGACATCTGCAGTTACAGTTGCATCTACAGCCACGCCTACAACTACACCCACACATACGCCAACGCCTACATCTACGCCTACATCTACACCTATATCTACACCAACACCTACACCAACACCTACACCTACATCCATAACTACACCTACCTCTACGACATCGATAACAACGGTTTCGGAGGATGCAACTATATCACAACAAAGTGCTACTAATAGTAAAAACGACGCGACAAAACTTCCATCAGAAATGGAAGAAGATAATAAAGGTACTAAAGGAAAGAAAGCACGAAGTGGAAAACGACTAAGTGTAGAACCTCCTCCAGAACGGAAAAATCTTCGTTCTAGTGCCGGAAGACAAGCGAGAGCAGCGGCAGAACGACAAGCAAGAATGGAAGGTGAACTGCAATCAGATCAACAAGAAACTCACACAACGAGCGAGTGAAGTGAATTTTTTAAGTGAGTTCTAAATAGTATTGGTGATGTTAATGATCAAATCTTCCGTTGATGCGATTATTTTTATTGCAAACTTCTGCAGTATTCGCACAACGATTTCCAAAAAAATCGATTCATAAACATTTATATACATGAATGAATCACTGAAGCGACAATTCTTAATTAAATAGAGCACAAGTGCATTCAAAGAACTTGAAAGAAGGGATAAAAACATTTATAGGATTTGATTTTTCCTTCCAGTTTATATGGAAGTAACGGGACAAATACAAGTAAATCACGTACACATTACCATTGCTATCATTGTGAATGTATAACATGAAGCTGTTAAGTATGAGAAGGCTGGCAATAGTATTTTATCATTCGATATATTGTGTGGTAATTAACTTTTAATTATATAACATTACAATAACAAAGTATAATTTTGTTAAATTTATTATTCTTTATGATCTTTATTGGTTTTGACGAGGGACTGTTTTATATAACTGCTATCTCACTATTGCGTAGTCGCGCAACAGTTTGCGGATCATTCAGACATAAGATATAACCATAATGTAGCAAAGTAAATTTAGTAATAACTTAATAAAAAAAAAAAACAGTGTAAATATTATATACATTATGCCTAGAGACCATAAGTGATCGTGTACTTGGAAAAATGTATATAACACAGTGTACTTTTAATTACATTAGGTGATACAATAAACAGCTTTTTTTGTTGTTTGCAAATGCCAACATTAGAATCTTTGTTTTGATAATTATGTATACCTCTATCAATGAACAGCCTTATAAGTAATAAATTATGAATTGTACTAATAGAAACAGTGGAAAATGTGCATGGATAATAATATGAACAATGAAAACCTAAAAGTATAAAGGATTTTTTAAATATACTTTAGCGCATTGTTTTCAGTTATTTTTGTCGTGAATTATAAATAAGAAATTTTAAATAAAAATGTTCGTTTTTATTATATTCTCTTTGAAATTATAAGCTGCCATATACCAATGTTAAGGCACTAAAAATATACGCTTATTTATAACTGTACTTCAAGAAATGATAGTACTATAATACTTTAAAAAAATTTAATATATTATCAAATGTGTACTTTAATTTTTACAAACATCGAAATACATTGTAAAGCAATTATTTTTCATGTTTTTAAAGGATTATTTATACAGCGGTTGAGGTATAACACGCAAGTAAGTTTTACCCGATGGTAGTGGTACAGTTTTAAAATCATTACACATCATTCTCGCTTCGTCGTCTGAAACAGTAGGTTGAATCATAACATGTTCACCTATCTAAAAATCATGATATACAATTAGTAACTTTTTTGTAATAAATATAGTATGTTTTATTAATTAGGCTATTAAATACGAACCTTCCAATCAACTGGAGTTGCTACTTTATAATTTTCTGTTAACTGTAGCGATTCGATCACTCGTAAAATTTCACTGTGTTCAAAAATTATATTGATAAATATACATTAATAAAAATAAAAATAAAAATGAAAATAAAAATATTCAAAATACGAAGAAGAAATTACTCGAAATTTCTTCCAGTGGTTGCAGGATATAAAATTGATAATCTCATTTTTTTAGCAGGATCAATAATAAATACTGCTCTAGCAGTCATAGGAATACCGTGACTGTCAATTTCTGCAGGATCTAACATTCCTAACAATGTTGCAAGTTTTCGCGCTTCATCTTCGATAATAGGGTAGGGAAATTCTTCATCGGTTATTTCAGCATAGGCCTTTATATCCTACAACATGATTATGTTTCGCAAATTTGTATTTGATCCGTATTTTTTATAAGCAAATTTTTAATGAGAACTATATTGACGAACGTACTTCTATCCATTTACGATGTGAATCGATTGAATTGCAAGATAAAGCAATAACTTTTACTCCTAACTTTTCAAATTCGGGCATTAATTTTAAGACTCGAGCTAATTCTGTTGTACATACCGGCGTAAAATCATTTGGATGAGAAAATAAAATGCCCCATCTATAAAACAAGGTTTTTTATTTTAAGAAGAAAAATTTGAATAAATATATTTGCGTGCGTATATACGTGTGTCATGTATGATGC